CCCAAAGTTATAAAAATATTCTCTGATGTTTTCTCCTTATATTTTTAGAATCTGTTTTTAGTCCAACGGGAATCTATTTTTGTGAATGGTGTTTGTGTGAGAGGGTCTCGTTTTATTTTTTTCCTAAATAGATGGACTATTTTCCCAGCATCATCACTTGAATAGCCCATTCTTCCCCTGCTAACTTACATATGCTAAATTTCCATATGAGCAGGAATCTGGTCTTAGACTGACTTTTCTCTTCCGTTGCTCTTTTTGCTATTCCGATGCCTTTACATACTTACTTTCCATTCACTCAGCGATCACAGTAATCTGGCTTCTACCCACAATTCCCCTCGAATTATTATTCCAAAATGTGTTACTGACCTTCATGTCACCAAACCCAATGAATATTTTTCAGTTTTCATCTTCCTGGATATGATGTATCATTTCCTCCCATATGCTGCGTGATTCAGCTCTCCCTTGATTCTTCTATCAATAAAAATCATGATCGACCGGGCATGGTGGCTCATGCCTATAATCCCAGCACTTTGGGAGGCTAAGGCGGGCGGATTGCCTGAGGTCAGGAGATCGAGACCAGCCTGGCCAACATGGTGAAACCCCATCTCTACAAAAAATACAAAAATTAGCCCGGCGTGGTGGCAGGTGCCTGTAATCCTAGCTGCTCTGGAGGCAGAGGCAGGAGAACTGCTTGAACCCGGGAGGCAGAGGTTGCAGTGAGCTGCACCATTGCACTCCAGCCTGGGTGACAAGAGTTAGACTTCATCTCAAAAAAAAAAAAAAAAAAAAATCATGATCATAATATCTTCAGTTTATGAGGTGAGGTGGTTACTCTGTGCCAGGCGTTTAAGCATTTTATATTCCACACATGTCAAATGTGCTTCACCACAACTCTCTAAGGTAGGTATTATTTTCATCATCATCATCATCCCCATTTTACAGATGAGAAAACTGAGGCACAGAAAATTTAAATACCTTGTTAAAGATCCCTGGGCTAAAAAGATGGCAAGATGGGATTTGAATCCAGGTCTAAGACCAGAGCCTAGGTTCCTAAGCACTCCCCTCTAAGCCTGTCCTCAGTCTCTCCCTTAAATCCCCTTTTCTCCAACATCCTTTTCTTTTTTTTTTTTAGACGGAGTCTGTCTCTGTCACCCAGGCTGGAGGGCAGTGGCTCGATCTCGGCTCACTGCAACCCCCACCTCCCGGGTTCAAGCGATTCTCCTGCCTCAGCCTCCCAAGTAGCTGGGACTATAGGTGCTTGCCGCCACAACGAGCTAATTTTTTATATATTTACTAGAGACAGGATTTCACTGTGTTTGCCAGATGGTCTCAATCCCTTGACCTCATGATCCGCCCACCTCAGCCTCCCAAAGTGCTAGGTGTTTACAGGCGTGAGCCACTGCATCCGACCTTCAGCATCCTTTTTTATTTTTATTTTTTGAATGGAATCTTACTCTGTCGCCCAGGCTGGAGTACCATAGCATGATCTTGGCTCACTGCAACCTCTGCCTTCTGGGTTCAAGTGATTCTCATGTCTCGGCCTCCCAAGTGGCTGGAATTATAGGCATGCACCACCATGGCCAGTTAATTTTTTGTATTTTTAGTAGAGACGGGATTTCATCATGTTGGCCAGACTGATCTTGAACTCCTGGCCTCAAGTGATCTGCCCACCTCGGCCTTCCAAAGTGCTCGAATTACAGGCTTGAGCCACCGTGCCCTGCCCTGCCTCCTGCCTCCAGCATCATTTAAATGGTAGCTTTCCGCAGTATCGGGCCTTACTCATTTCTCCTCCCAGTTTATGCACGTGCTCTTGTAAAGCAGGACATTCTAATGCCTGGTTTCAATGCAGTTTCACTGACATATCTATGCTAACAGCATGAAGAAAACACTGCTTTTTATTACAGATACCTGGAGCTTACTACACCCCTGCTCCCCAGTGAAATTTCAAGGAGGCTTTTCATTTCTACTTATTTATTATAAGTATGTATCATATTTATAATCAGGAAAAAACAATACGGATATTTAAAAAATATAACGGAAGTAGAATCGCCTCTGAGGGGCAGTACCTCTTCAGTCCTCCCAAGCCATCATTATCAAGGCATTGTCCAATGTTAGATGTGTTGAATGTATGTAACTGAAGGAACTGTAAGAAATTTAATTGAAGTTTTTGAACAATCTGCAGCTGAGATTAAGCACTCATATTGTGGCCTGAATATCCCCATTCTCCAGTTTAATTTATTCTCAACCAAACAAGAATAGCACAATAAGCATGTTTATACAAAGCAGAGGTGGCCGGACGCAGTGGCTCACACCTGTAATCCCAGCACTTTTGGAAGGCTGAGGTGGGAGGATCACTTGAGGTCGGGAGTTCGAGAACAGCCTGGCCAACATGGCGAAACCCCATCTCTACTAAAATTACAGAAAAATCAGTGAGGTGTGGTGGTGCGTGACTAATTCCAGTTACTGGAGAGGCTGGGGCAGGAGAATTGCTTGAACCCGGGAGGCGGAGTTTGTAGTCAGCCAAGATTGTCCCACTGCACTCCAGCCTGGGTGATAGAACGTGACTCCGTCTCAAAAAGAAAACAAAAAAACAAAAAAAAAAAACAACCAAAAACAAAGTAGAGATGTCTTTTTTCTAGAATTTCAAATGCAAAACAGAACTCAGTTCCATTATGAAGAAGCTACATATATTTATTCATTATAAGGAAGTAAGCGTGGCTGTTACAGCTTTAAGGGGGAAATAAAAGAATTTGACATAAAGTTCCTCTAAGAAGCAAAAGAATCCTGAAAGGATGAGAAGACCCTCTGCTCAAAATGATGAATGGCCCTTTCTGCAATTAACACATGTGATAACCACGTGACTTCTGGTTAAATTCGATGGTGCCTGACCCCACCCCTCATCACATCCTCATCTCTGAGCCTCACCTACTCTTCACTCATACACATTCTCAACCCCCAACATCTTTTGTTTGTTTGTTTTGAGACAGAGTCTTGCTCTGCCTCCCAGGCTGGAGTGCAGTGATGCAATCTCAGCTCACTGCAACCTCCACCTCCCAGGCTCAAGTGCTTCTCCCACCTCAGCCTCCAGAGTAGCTGGAATTACAGGCACCTGCCACTATACCCAGCTAATTTTTGTATTTTTAGTACGGACAGGGTTTCACCATGATGGCCAGGCTGATCTTGAACTCCTGACTTCAAGTGATCTTCATGCCTCAGTCTCCCAAAGTTCTGGGATTACAGGCACGAGCCACCTTGCCTGGCTCCCCAACATCTTTCCTGGCCCCTCTCCTATCTCTCTGCTTACTCCTGTTCAGACCCTTTTCAGGATGTCTTTTCCTTTGTCTGTGGATTTAACATCCCGAGATTTTTGTCTTTAGTCCCGTGTTCTTCTCACTCTACTCTGATCCCTGGGCGATTTTACATGTGTCCGTGGTTGGGACCTATCACCTCTACCTTAATAACCCAATCCATATTTCTAGCCTCTTCTGATCTCCAGCTCTGTGTGTTCAACTGACTCACGTAGCTCAGAATTTCTCAGACAGATCAAACTCGACATGTCCAAACGGAGCTGATTATTTTGAGCCCTGGTTCTCTTATGGACTGCCACCACCATGTGTCCACTCCCCAAAGCCAGAATTTTGGCCTCATTCTAGATTTTTCTCTTGCCGTCACAAACCTACACCAAGTCCTGTTGATATTTACCTACTCAGTATTCAGCAAGTCTGTCACGCCTTTCTTATCTCGGCACCTATTTTACCTCTGGCCTCGATCGTAAATCCCTCTGTGATCTGGCACCTGCTTACCTCTTCAGCCTCCTCTCCCCGTTTTTCCCCAAGCTTATTCTAAGTGCTAGCCCAAGGGCAGAACCAAGTTTTTCCAGCCCTTACACTTAGCAATTTGAAAGACTCTCTGAGGACAATAATACAACATTGTGATTGAACATGAGTTCCAGAGTTCTGGAAGGGGCCTGTACAATCTTCATTAGCTTCACAGTGCCTCTGCCTCTGTCTAGCTGCCCTACACAGAGAGAGCAAGCTGCACTTTCCTAGAACACACCAGAATTCTGCACATCACTTTGCCTTTATACAGGCAGTTATCTCTGCCCAAGACGCCCCTCTCTCCCTTCCCTTGTCTGTCTGGCAAAACAGTTTGTCCTTCAAGAGTCAGCTCAGGGGGCCGGGCGCGGTGGCTCAAGCCTGTAATCCCAGCACTTTGGGAGGCCGAGGCGGGTGGATCAAGAGGTCAAGAGATCGAGACCATCCTGGTCAACATGGTGAAACCCCGTCTCTACTAAAAATACTAAAAATTAGCTGGGCATGGTGGCGTGTGCCTGTAATCCCAGCTACTCAGGAGGCTGAGGCAGGAGAATTGCCTGAACCCAGGAGGCGGAGGTTGCGGTGAGCCGAGATCTCGCCATTGCACTCCAGCCTGGGTAACAAGAGCGAAACTCCGTCTCAGAAAAAAAAAAAAAAAAAAAAAAAAAGAGTCAGCTCAGGACACACATCCTTTGGGTAGGCGTCCCTGACCTCCCTAAGTGGAATTGACTGTTCTCGCCCTTGTGTTCTTCTTGTAACTTGTCCTTTATCTTGTTGTACCCTGTTCTTTACAGAACATCTTATACTCCATGGAAATTATTTGGTTAAAACCAGTTTTGCCTGTGAGTGCCTCAAGGGCAGAGACTAAGCCGTTCCTTTTTAGATGGTCGGAGCCCGACAGTACCTGGCGCAAGGTAGGAGCACAAGACATGTTTGTTGCATGGAATTGAGACCCAAACCATGTGTATTACAGACACCCTTCTTTTGGTGAAGTGAGTGGAGTGGAGCAGTTGCTGTAAACAAGGACCCTTGACAGGGCTGATGCTTGGAAGGTATCTGCTGCCCACACCATTCTGGGATGACAGGCTAGGGCCCAGTATCTGTGCTGTCTTCAAGATCCCCATGGTGAGCTCCTCTGTGTGGCCCTTTACCAACCTCCCCACCTCACCCCACTGCCTTCCTTACCTGTCCTCTTTGTTGATCTGGTCTCCAAAGCCAACTGTGCTAACGATCGTGAGCTTTAGCCCCACGTTGCTCTCTTGGAGGTCATAGGTATTAGACCGGAGCTGGACACCTGGCTGTGTGTGGGTGGCTGGCTCCCCTTCGAACTTGGTGTTGAACAAGGTGTCCATGAGGGTGGACTTGCCCAAACCTGTCTCTCCTGAAAAGCAAAAGGATAAATTATGGTCTGGTCACATAGTGACTATGCAGCCCTTACATATCACGTTTCAGATATACACATGTAGACATGGGAAAATGAACGTGATAGGCCAGATATAGTGGCTCACGCCTGTAATCCAAGCACTTTGGGAGGTCAAGGCGGATGGATTATAAGGTCAGGAGTTCGAGATCAGCCTGGCCAACATGGTGAAACCCTGTCTCTACTAAAAATAGAAAAATTAGCCAGTCATGGTGGTGCACGCCTGTAGTCCCAGGAGGGGACTGAGGCAGGAGAATCATTTGAACTTCGGAGGCAGAGGTTGCAGTGAGCTGAGATCACGCAACTGCTCTCCAGCCTGGGCAACACAGGGAGACTCTTTCTCAAAAAAAAAAAAAAAGAAAGAAAAGAAAAGAAAATGAGCATGATAAAATATAAAGTGAAAAGCATATAGAAGCAGACAAACTATATGATCTCAGTTAAATGAAAAAGACTGAAAGGAACTGTATCAATGGATCAGCAGTAGTCATCTCAGATAGTAGAATTGAGGTAATTTTCATTTTATTCTTCCATTTTTTCTGTCATTTGGAAATTTTACCTTGAGTATACATTGCTTTTACAGTCAGAAAAAGAAATTATGTTATGAGCAGCAATTGAAAGGTATAGCTATGCCTAGAAAAAAAGACCGAAAGGAAATACAATCTACTCTTACCAATGGCTATCTCCGAGTGGTGACCTTATGTGTGGTTTTCATCGTTTTCTAAGTGGAATATGTAATATGTATAGTTTCTTTCATAAAAATTAAAGGGCTGTTTTATTTTATTTATTTATTTTTTTGAGATGAGTCTCTCTCCGTCACCAGGCTGAAGTGCAGTGGTGCGATCTCGGCTCACTGCAACCTCTGCCTCCCAGGTTCAAGTGATTCTCCTGCCTCAGCCTCCTGAGTAGCTGGGACTACAGGCACATGCCACCACGCCCAACTAATTTTTGTATTTTTAGTAGAGAAGGGGTTTCACCATATTAGCCAGGATAGTCTCGATCTCTTGACCTCGTGATCCACCCGCCTCAGCCTCCCAAAGTGCTAGGATTACAAGCATGAGCCACCACGCCCAGCCCTTAATTTTTTTAAAAGGACAACGGTGGCCAGGCGTGGTGGCTCACGCCTGTAACCCCAGCACTCTGGGAGGCTGAAGCAGGCAGATCACTTGAGGTCAGGAGTTCGAGACCAGCCTGGCCAACACTGTAAAACCCTGTCTCTACTCAACAAATATATGTATACATATACAATTTAGCTGGGCATGGTGGTGGGCGCCTGTGATCCCAGCGACTGGGAGGCCAAGGCAGGAGAATTACTTGAATCAGGTGGAGGTGGAGGTTGCAGTGAACAGAGATAGCACCACTGTACTCCAGCCTGGGCAACAGAGCAACACTCCTTCTCAAAAAAAAAAAAAAAAAGGAAAGAAAAAAAGACAACAGTCCTTTGTCAAACAAATATCCTCTCATCCCAGTCCCCACCTCTCCTCCCTGCCAGGCCTAAACAGCCCTTTCTGGATGCCCCAAATGTGCCTCCCAGCGGTGAAAACCATACAGGCCCCTGGCTTATCCTCCCAGCCTGGTTGAACTTTCAGTGAGACAGTTTTTAACTAAGAGGGGTGGGGTAGGGAGACCTAGCAGACCACAAATTCTTCTTATCCTTAAATTTTCAACAAACTAGCCATTTGTTTGTTTAACTACTAGGCTGCGGGATACTAATAAATCAAACCATTGGAATTTAAAAAGTCCTGAACTTCACACTAGGGAAATGAGTAGGGGAAGGGCTTGGCAGACTGGTGAAGGTTTTGGGAGCTTGTTTTTGGGAGATCAGGGGATACCAAGCCACTGTCAGGAGCCAAGGAGAGTTCAGGGAATGGGACATCACAAGAAGTCAGGAGTTGGAGACAAGGAGGTTAGATAGGAATCTGATATGAGGCCACAAACTGAGCTGGCCACTAAAACCACTTACCATCTTATAATCTCTACAGATCCAGGCTGTATTTGACCCCTCAGCCCACCCCAAGTGACTCAGAAATACCAGGAATTAAAGAATCAGTAGAGAGGCAGGGACTAGGAAGAAAGCATATCGTTAATTACTCTGGCCTGCCCTTTGAAGACAAAGACTACCCTCCCATTATATTCTGCTTTCTCCCTCTCCTCTCCCCAACCCAAGGGGGATGTGAGCCTTGACTTCTCTTCACAGTCGGGACTGGGTTTGCATTGGGCAAATCGCTGGCAAATCCCGCCTCGGGACCAAAAGCGCACATCTGCAAGGTGGTTCAGGGCTAGGGTTAGGGCTTCGCGATGCAGGAACTGGAAATGCTCCACCTCCCCTCCCCGCTCGGGGTGTGTCTAGCCATGTTTCTTTTATCCTGAATAATGAGCTATGAATGCAGGAGGTGCCTTTTCAAATATCTGTCTATGATAAGAGTTTTCTATGTGTGGACAGTGAGAAGGGAGAGAGAGAGAGAGAGAGGAGGGAGACAGGAAGAAGGAGGGAGAACATTCAGTTCAGTCTGGCTACCCGGCCCCCCAGCCCAATTTCATAGCCAGGTCTGACTAACTTGGTAAATTGCCACAGTGCACGGAAATGGTTCTTCACACAGACCATGTTTCCAGCCAGGGTCTGCTATATCCATTAGCAGCAAAGACTCTCAGAGAAGAGGCCCCCTTTTTCCTCTCCTAAAGGAACAGGAAGTTATTTGGGTCCCAAGAAGAATTTGATGAGGTGAGGCCTTTGCCATGGGAGGTGGCAGACTTGGCCAGGCAGTGGACTGTATCACACCCCCACCTCCCGCAAGGTTGCGGTGCAGCTTAACTGTAAACGGGGCCAGCACCTTGGAGGCGGGAACATAGTACGGCTCCCACATCCTAACTCACCTCTCCTTTCGAGGGCACTGAGGTTTGAACTACATTTTAGCCCATCTTCCTGTGTGCCTCATGAATTTTCCAAGTACATCCTTACTCCCAACTCCCTTCTGTTCTGTGAGCTCCCTGCCGAATGCCCTGCAGGTCCTAGGGAGTAGAAGTCCTATGTCCCTAGCACCCAGAGTAGGCACCCTGGCTTCCCAATTCTAAGAATGCTCAGAGGCAGGGCGCGGTGGCTCACACCTGTAATCCCAGCACTTTGGGAGGCCGAGGCAGGTGGATCATGAGGTCAAGAGATCAAGACCAACTTGGCCAACATGGTGAAACCCCATCTCTACCAAAAATACAAAAACTGGCTGGGCGTGGTTGCGGGCGCCTATAGTCCCAGTTACTGGAGAGGCGGAGGCAGGAGAATTGTTGAAAGCAGGAGGCAGAGGTTGCAGTAAGCCGGGATCGCACCATTGCACTCCAGCCTGGGTGACAGAGCAAGACTCCATCTCAAAAAAAAAAAAAAAAGAATTCTCAGAGAGCAGGAGATAGGGCATCTTCCAGTACCCCCAGGAGTGCCCGTCCTGAGGTTCACACAGAAGGCCTCAGGGGCAGCACCACAGAGTGAGTGACCCACTCTGCACAGCTGGAGGAATGGGAGCCGGGCTAGGCAGCACAGGGAGCCGGGAGCAACCGCAGGAGAGATGACCACCCAAATGCCTGCCGGCACCAAAGGGCTGTGGAAATTAGATGCCAAATAATGAACGTCTGGAAGAAAAGAACACCCGGGTGTCTAGGAAATTGTGATAAATACAAGAGTAGAGAGGGCAGAAAGTCAAGCGAGCTCGTCCGATGGCTATTGAGTGCTTCCATTCCAGTTTTCCAGCAGCGTGGAGCCTGCGAGTTGGGGAGCCTTTCTCTCAATGACTGGCACAGACCCAGCCTGAGCCTAGGATGCTGCCCCTCCCACAGCTGCCCTGGGCCCAGTACTGAGTGTGAGTGTGTCGTAGGGGAAGGCACACGTGACCTAACTGGGATCAGGTCAACAGATTCCACGCCCCTGCAGGAAGGTGGGGACTTGGCAATTAGATTCCAGCAGGAAACCTGAGGAGTCCCAAGGGGTCAATTTCTCATTCCTCCTCCCCCAGCTCTCCCAGAGCTCCTCCGAATGGATAGTACGGTTTTTAACACATGCTCCACCAGGCGAGAGGATTTCATCTCAGTTTAGTTAATGTAGACAGTATTCTGGAAAAGGCTTTTTTTTTTTTTTTTTTTTTTTCTAAATTAAATTTAAAACATATATGAGTACTATGAAATATGGTTTTTTCCAAACTATACTCTTTCAGGGCATGGTGGCTCAGGCCTGTAATCCCAGCACTTTGGGAGGTCGAGGCGGGCAGATCATCTGAGGTCAGGAGTTCAAGACCAGACTGGCCTACGTGGTGAAACCCCGTCTCTACCAAAAATACAAAAATTAGCCAGGCATGGTGGCCCACGCCTGTAATTCCAGCTACTCAGGAGGCTGAGGCTGCAAAATCGATTGAATCCAGGAGGTACAGGTTACAGTCAGCTGAAATCTTACCGCAACACTCCAGCCTGGGCAACAGAGCAACATCTTGTCAAAGAAACGAAAAGAAAAAGAAGGAAGGAAGGAAGGAAGGAAGAAATTACTGTGTGACATTAACTGAGCCCTTCCCCCTCTCCGCGTCCCAGTCTCTTTTTCTCTAAAATGAGAGGGTTGGTAATAATCGCTATTGTTTACAGACACTGCTGCAAGTTTTTAACATATATTTTCCTATTTATTCTTCACAATAAGCCTTTGAGGCAAATGTTACTATTTGTCCTCAATTTAGAGATGGGTTCACCAAGCCACTTACTAGCTGTGGAAATCTGCGCTAGTTCCTCAGCATTTCTGTACCTTACTTTCCTCATCTATAAAACGTGGAGGGACCGGGCATCTTTGCTTATGCATATAATCCCGGCACTTTGGGAGGCTGAAGCAGGAGGATCACTTGAGGCCAGGAGTTCTAGACCAGCCTGACCAACATAGACCCTGTCTCTGTTTTATTTTATTTCCATAGGTTTTGCGGGGAACAGGTGGTGTTTGGTTACAT